AACCCATTTTTAATATCTACAGAGTAGAGCTGAGGGAGCAGAAAGATGGAGCATAGCATCTTTATGTATTTTCATGTGTATAAAATCCAAGAAAACTTTTAAAGTTAAAGCCTACTTAAAATTAAATATGGTTAAATGAATACTCCTTTACTTTGTGTTTAATCCTTCTTTCTAATAATCTTAAAATAACAATGTAAGGATAAATTGTCAAACAGAATTAGAAGAGATAACAAAGTGTGAGAAATTGGAAAGCAATTGGACAAGTATTAACAGATTTAGCAAAACAGAGAACAACAAAACCAAAGCTACCAGTAGGAGACAGCGCAGAAGCAAGTTGGCAAGCTGACTTAGCCCTTGGAATTCCAAAATCTAAAAATGATATTGTAGGTAAGGTTGGGCAATGAAGGGTTTATCAAAAATGTGTCTTATAAGCAGCAAGATAAGATCCAATGCTGTGCTGGTAACCAGCTCCCTACTCTACCCCACTCCCAATAAAAAGCCCTGTTTGCCAATTTTGATGATGTAAATATTCCCATCATGGCCAATTTCAAGCTACCAATATAATATTACTCAACACAGAACTGGGAAGACATGAGCACATGTCTTCCAGAGAGCTGGCTCAAGTCAGCTCCACCACACCTCTTGTTTGACCCTATTAAACAGTAGAGGAATTATCCTTTTTTTTCTGCAACCAAAGAATGGCTGCTTGTTCTCTGAAGAAATGTCAGAGACACAGGACTCAGAGACATAAGGTTTAATTAAGAAGAAGTTACAGCATGAAAAGGGTGACTACATGGAAATGTATTTATGGTGCAGCCTCTTTCTTTTCCTGCTTTCCAAAACTGTCTACTGACTGAAGATTAGAGAATCTCTTTATGGGGGAACTGAAAACAGAAGAAAATTCAAGGGATAATGGCATTTGAGGGTTCCTCAATGACCGCCCAGCTACATCACACCAGAGTGGAGCCCCAACCTGAGAGGCTCTTACCCAGAGCTTCTAGTCGGCATTAAAGTGGATCACTTTTAAAAATAAATGGTGATGGGGTGAAGGAAATGCTACCCCCAAAATATGACACCTTGGAATACTGAGTATTTCAAGCTGAAGGAAATTGAGAATATTGCAGAAGCAGAAAGGTCTTTGTGATCTTCTCTTTCTCTGATTTCTCCTACCTTTCTCTCCTGAGGTCATAAAAAGAATTCTCTGACTTACTTCCCCTGAAAGTATGTGGTATGACCTGGTATGACCCTCATTCCACAGGGGTTCTGCCTTATACCTGGAGGCAAAGAAGAATCTGAACAAATAGGCCTTGCTAAGTTCCCACCAGTTTATATCCATTAGATCATACCCCCTTTTGTCCTCCAATTACACTTCTCCACAGATCCATAACAATACTCAGTTTACCCTGGATCTTTAGATCCTTTCTGAAGGCTCTTGTGCCATGTAAAATGTTGATGAAATGAATTTGTTATGCTTTTCTCTTGCTAATATGTCTTTTGTTAGAGGAATGTCAGTCTTGAATCTTGTGATGGTTGAGAAAAGGAGAATTCCTTTTCTTCTTTACAATGGAAAGTTATGTTGGTGCTGGTATTATTATTACTATTATTATTATTATTATTGAGATAGGATCTCACTCTGTCACTAAGCTGTAGTGCAGTGGTGTGATCTAAAATCACTGCAGCCTCTGCTTCCTGGACTCAAGTGATCCTCCCACCTTAGCCTCCCAAGTAGCTGGGAGAACCATAAAAGAACACCATAAAATTAGCCACCACGCCCATCTAATTTTTGTATTTTTTGTAGATATGGGGTTTCACATGTTGCCCATGTGCGTGCAGAACTCCTGGGCTCAGGTGATCCTCCCACTTCGGCCTCCCAAAGTGCCAGGATTAAAGGTATGAGCCACTATGCCAGTGCTGGTAATATTAGTCTTGTAATTCTGACACTACTGTGTATAATGTGGGATGAGCATACATGTAATTTTGAGATATTCTATCATCCCCTGCATCCTTAAGACCAGAAAAAGGAGGGTAAATGTAACATGGAAAGACCTTAACCCTCACATTTATAGTCAATTGATTTTTGTCAAAGATGTCAATGGCTTGTCATCTTTGAGGAAAGGCAAATGCCAAGACAATTGGATTTTTATACATTGAAAATATAAACTTTAATTCAGACCTCACATCATCTATAAAAATTAACTCAAAAATGGATTATAGACTTAGATATTGGAGCTAAAACTATTAAACATTTAGATAAAAACATAGGAGATAATCCTCATGACCTTGGATTAAGCAAATATTTCTCAGATATGACACCAAAAGCAAAATGCATTAAATGAAAAAATGATAAATTGGATATCTTTAATAAATTTTATCAAAATTAGAATCTTTTTATCTCCAAAATATATAGTTTAATAATGAAAAGGCAAGACACTGAATGGGATAAAATATTTGCAACATATATAACTAAGAAAAGACTTGTACTCATGGTTAAAAAAAAAGACTTTTTATAACTCAGTTAGAAGCCAAGCAAACCATTTTTTTAACAAACAGCAAAAGATTTGAATAGACATTAAGAAAAATGCAAACATGATTGAGAAGTTCATGAAAAGATGTTCAACATGAGTAATCATCACGAAAAATCAAACTAAAATCACAATGAAATACCACTAAACAGCGACTAGAAAAGCTATAACAAAAAGAATGACAATACCAAATATTGGCCGGGATTTGCTAGTGGGAGAACACCTTGAAATTTTGGAAATCAATATGGCTACTTCTTAAAAATGTAAACATAAACTTACCATACAACGTAGCAATTCCGTCCTGGGCATTTACTTGAGAGGAATAAAAACTAATGACCACCGAAGATGTGAATGATCATGGCAGCATTATTTATAATAGCCAAAAAACTGGAAGTCACTCAAACAGCCAACAACTGGCGAAAAGATAAACAAAATGTGATCTATCCACGTAGTGAGATAGTAGTAACCAAAAGAAATGAATTACTTTTTACACACTACAACTTGGGTGGGCCTCAAAAATATTATGCTCAGTGAAAGAAGCCCAACACAAATGATTGCAAATATTAGATTATTTATGTGGAATTTTCAGAAAAACAAATCATACAGACAGAAAGCAGATCAATGCTTGCCTGGGGCTGGGATTGGGGGTGGTAATTGCCTTCGAGGGAACCCTTTAGGTTGACAGAAAGGTTCCAAGACTGGATTGTGGTGCTGGCTGCGCAACTTTGTAAATTTACTAAAAGTTACTGGACTGTGCAGTGATCATGGGTGAATTTTATGATATGTAAATTATACCTCAATAAAGTCATTTTAAAAATAGAGAGATATACAAAGCTTATTTAAAAAGTGAGCAAGATTGAACTTTGGTGTCTCTCATGCACACTTTGGTGGTGAATCTACACAGAAGTAAAAGGAAGTGATTATTACCTCATCTTTTGTTTTATATTTATCCCAGATTACCTTAATGTTCATCATCCCATGGGTAAAATCGATATACTAACAGATGGTCCAAATTTCCTAATTTTAGAGCTATCTGTTTCTGTGGGATTTCCTGCTTCCTGTAAACTCTTCAATAGCTGATTCTAGAAGTCCATGTGAGTGTCTCACTGGGTTCATAAACTGAGCTCTCAGCCCAAATTATCTCATGGGATCAACTATGTTCTTCCTCTCATTGTCCAACTCCTTTTGTTGATATACATGTATAAGATATAAAATATAAATTACATAATTTTGGTGATTTCACATGTGAGTTAAATGCTCTTATAGTTGCATTTAAAATTGGCATTGCACAATATAAAGACAAATGATAAAGCCTATGCTAATAATTAACTTTTTGAAGTTATGATGACATGACATGGCAAATAAAGAACCACGGAAGTTTGAAAAAGTCTGTAGAAGAAAGAAAATAACTTTAAATTTAAGCATCTTGAATACTTTTCTTCATCTTTTTCAAAAGGGATCTTACATTTTCATTTTACACCAGATCCCAGAAACCTGTAGTTGGCTTTAGCCCAAAGGGAGCATTTTGATTCAGACAATGACGCTTCGGTATGACAAGTTAGGTCAGACACTGATAATTAGAGAGGGTATCCAAATATTTTGGTTTTTACCTAAGACCTAGGACTTATACACAGACCTTCTTCCTAAACTGGTAGAGTACAGGACAATAGCAAAAATGGAGAGTCATATGCAATATGGCTGAATATCAGAAGGTATAAGTCATGTTAACAAACTCTTAAATAAAATAAAATATGTTCTGCTCTTTCACCTTGAAAAAATTATTCCTATGTTACCACTGGAAGGCCAGACACAAATTTAGAAGTCTAAGACTTCTTAGAATTCTGTTTCAGTATGTGAAATTGTGGGGATTGGCACCCCTGACCCCCAAGCCTCAGCTGTGCTATACACCCATTTTCTCTCCACCTCTTGCTTCATCCCATACCAAATGGGCCTCATGCTATGTGCAGAGAGCAGAGCCCACACATTCAAGCTCTATTTGGTATTAGTCTGTTTTCGCAATGCTGATAAAGGCATACCTGAGACTGGGTAATTTATAAAGAAAAAGAAGTTTAATGGACTCACAGTTCCACGTGGCTGGGGAGCCTCACAATCATGGCAGAAGGCAAAAAGCACATCTTACATGGCGGTGGGCAGAAAGAGAACGAGAGCCAAGTGAAAGGGGTTTCCCCTTATAAAACCATCAGATCTCATGAGACTTGTTCACTACCACTAGAACAGTGTGGAGGAAACCGCTTCCATGACTCAATTATCTTCCACCAATTCCCTCCCACAATGTAGGAATTATGGAAGCTACAACTCAAGATGAGATTCGGGTGGTGACACAGCCAAACCATATCATATCTACACCATCAAACAGCCATCCTTTGCCTTCCCATAGACCTAAACATGAAGAGACTGGATATAAAACAGACAATGGCTAGGTCATGTATAACAGTAGAACTTTGACACACAACTTACAGCAGCCGTTTCAGAAAATCGACCTCCTTATCAACAAAAAGCAACCCAAGAAGTCAGAGTCCGCTAAGTCAGACTTGCAGGAAGCCAATCACTATCTCTAGTGAAAATCCAGGAAGCCAAATAATAATTGCTTTAACACTCAGTCCAAAATGTCCAGGATTTGGTTAATAACTGACAGCTTCCTTCATTTTTGTCCCTGCTTCCAACTTAAGGTCAACAAACAAAAAGCCAAATACACACCCCTAACCAATCACAAAAGATCACACTTCTATTTAGCTGCCTTCAGCTTCCCCAGGTCGATAGCCTTTCATTAGGGAACACCTGAAACCTTCCCTTTTAGCCACTATGAAGCTTTCCCACACCTGTGCCTGCCTTTAAGTCTCTGCCAAAAGGCAAGTAATGGTGGCTGACTCCCTTGTGATAGCAAGCTCTGGAAGAAGAGCTTTTGCTTTTCTCATTTGATTGGTGTTTGTTTAATTCCACAATGTACACTGGGTATACAGCCTACCATCAGGCAGACTGATCCAGAGGAGAGACCTGCCAAGCCAGCAAACCAGAGTTGGCAGCTCTGAGGTCCTCTGTGTATGCAGCCTGTCTACAAAGGGAGAACTTGGGATCCAGATGGGGGAATCTCAGCCCATGACACTTGGTAGCCACCTCTATCTTCCCCATGCCAATAAGATATTCAGACACAGCGGAAGGAGATCAGAGTGAGGATTTCTACAGCTCAAGGCCCAGAGCAGGAGCTCCTTTTCCCTAAGTATATGAGAGATAAGAGATTGAATTTCTTTTAAGACCAGATGGATAGGAAATTGATGTAATATTAGATTAACTTAAACAAATAAACAATTGGTTTTTAATTTTTATTTCCACAGGTTATTGGGGGAACAGGTGGTGTTTGGTTACATGAGTAAGTTCTTCAGTGGTGATTTGTAAGATCTTGGTGCACCCATCGTCTGAGCAGTATACACTGCACCCAGTTTGTAGTCTTTTATCCCTTACCCCCCTCCACCCTTTTCCCCTGAATCTCCAAAGTCCATTGTGTCATTTATTTGCCTTTGCATCCTCATAGCTTAGCTCCCACTCATGAGTGAGAACATATGATGTTTGGTTTTCCGTTTCTGAGTTACTTCATTTAGAGTAATAGTCTCCAATCTCATCCAGGTTGCTGCGAATGCCATTAATTCATTCCTTTTTATGGCTCAGTAGTACTCCATCATATATATCACATTTCTTTATCCACATGTTGATTGGTTGGTTCCACATTTTGGTTGGTTCCACATTTTTGCAATTGCAAATTGTGCTGTTGTAAACGTGTGTTTGCAAGTATCTTTTTAGTATAATGACTGCTTTACAAAACAAAATTTTTTTTATAGACAACTCCTGAGAGTGCTTTGGAATCCACCTGCATTTTTGTCGTCGTTCTCAGGATCGTCTCTTCTTGTGACCTAGAAAAACCTTCCAGCAATGATTGTTTCTGAGCTTAAGCAGCACTCCTTCACCGACAATCCCCTTTGCTGCCTGGGTGAGCTGGGCCCAGCCTCAATTTGTGAGCAGAATAAGGGTGATTCATACCAAGTCCTGGGGCTGTTGCTCGGCACAAAGGGACTACCTTTCTACCTCAGGCCCCGCGTTTGACTCTGTAGGGAGAGGGGAGAACTGAGTTGTTAGTGTCTTCCAATCTCTGCCCTAGCCCTTCTGGACACCTTTATGGACCCTCCCTCAAGACTGGACTTGCCAATGCCTCCTTCCCAGAACCACAGCATTAGCCCGACGGGTGCAATTTTGATTTCAGTTCTCAAGCCCTGTGGGACTGTAAGTATGTTAAAAAAAATTAATCAGACACTTGCTAAAGATGGAAAGGCAGACAGACTTTAGTTAAGAAGGACAATTGCAGTGGAGATTTTGCAGTTGACACAGGGATAGAGCTCAACTTTGACTACAAGTAGTCAAAGACAAAGATGGAGACTTATAGCCAAGGAGTAGGATGGGGAGTCAGTGGATGAAAAATGACTAAGAGAAAACATCAAGGCTAGGGGGATTCTTGATAGACTGACCCAAAAAAAGGATTATTGCTGAAATTGGAGTAAGCAGGCCAAAAGCAGAGCCCCCAGGTTCTGAACCTAGTCAGAAAGAGGACTCAGAGGAGTTTGACTCAAGTTTGGTCAAGGAACAAGTCTTTCTCAGGTAGACATCACTCTTTTTCCGCTCTGTTGTGCATTAGGTTGTGAAACTGCCCCACAGCTATTGCAGCCAAGGGCAATCTGTTCCTCTCACCTTCATGGTGAGGAAAATGTTTGGGGCTTGGTGGTAGGAAGATCAGGGTTTAAGTCTGGGATCCACTACTTATAGCTGTAGGATCTTGTGCAAATCATTTACCCTTGTTTCATAAATATTCATTTCCTTGTGTATAAAAATGGGGATAGTAATACCTGATTGAATATCGTTGGAACAAGGCTTATATTGGAGATATGTAAGTATAGTGTTTGGCATATAGTTAGTGTTCCGTAAATACTACTACTGCTGTTACTGTTACTACTAATACTAATACTGCCACTCTTATGATTGTGATTAGAGTTTTCTGTCCACTCTTTTTGTAACAGGCCATTCTTGCATTGCTACAAAGAGCTGACTGTGTGATTTCCAAGAAAAGAGGTTTAACTGGCTCACAGTTCTGTAGGCTGTCTGCTTCTGGAGAGGCCTCAGGGAGCTTTTATTCATGGCAGAAGGTAAAGTAGGAGCAGGCAGATCATATGGCAAAAGCAGGAGCAAGAGGGAGAGTGAGGGGCTAAATACTGCACACTTTTAGGCAACCAGATCTCTCAAGAACTTACTTACTATCATGAGAACAGCACCAAGTGGATAGTGCTAAACCATTCATGAGAAATCCATCCCTGTGAGCCAGTCACCTCCTATCAGGCCTCACCTCCTATGAGGTCCCACCTCCAACACTGGGGATTACATTTTACATTTCAACATGAGATTTTGGTGGGGCAACATCCAAACTAGATCACTTTTCCTCAGAATTCTATTATTTCTATCTAAAAAAGAGTATCAAATTGCTTATTTATGTAGCTGAGGGAGAATGCTAAGACACACACACACACACACACACACACACACACACTGCACTTCAGAGAACAATCTTGTCTTGACTGAAAGAAAGATAATGATACCCAATGGGTCTTTTCCATTTCTAATTTCAGTCACTCCATGGTCTTGCAATTACTACAGTCAACTAATCAACTAAACGTAATTATGCACAATTTCAAACATATTATGAAGTAATAAGGCCTTTATTTTTCATGGTGCCCTGGATGCTTATATCATTGAAGATGTAAAAGCAGAATTTAATTTGGGCCTACAAAATTGAAAGTCAAAAGTATGAAAGGGAAGATAAGAAGACCTAGGGTTTTTTTTTTTTTTTTTTTTCCTTGTTAGCTTGGAAATATGTAAATACGTAAACACCTGGATAATATTTTAAAAGGGTATGAATAGCCTCTCAGCTGCCAGATCATGCATAAGACTCACCTTATTCAAGTCAATATTGTAGGAATTTGATCCTGGAATTCTTCGATGACACCTGTAATTAAGTATTGGAAGTCAGAATGTGAATGATCAAATATGTCCTTGAAGAACTGAACACTTCTGTGCCCAAATCTGACATATTCAAATTGTCCCACAGGCTGGCAAATGTGTCTAACTCTGTGGATTTCTAAGGTCAGACTTGTACGTGAAAACTGAAAATTTGATTTCAGAAGTATATTCATGAAAAGCAAGAAAGAACATAGGTTTTTACGAAGTAGTTATATAATTTCTGTAGCATATCATGAAGGGACATCGGGAATGCCATTCTGTTTTGTAATGTACAAACTGGTGGACTAGGTAGAATCATTGTCATTTCCAATGGCAAAACCCCAATAAGGTTCTCGTAATTGGTCACACAGAACCAAATTATGCACCTTAAAAATACAGCCTGATAGCCACCAGTATATGCTTTGCAAAGGAAACCAGGCAAAACAATAAATGCACTTTTATAAAGAAAAGAAGAGAAAATCTCACAATTATTTAGGAAATTGTTTTAATCATTCTTTTAAGAATTAGAAGTGGAAACATGATAATACCAAGCCCAATCTCCAAAAATTAACAAAACAGTAAGTTATTTTGAATTCTAGATGTATTATATGTCACTCTTTCTCCTGCAACTTGCTCTAATTTTAATCAATACAACACAAGAGTTTGAGCTGTGTCCTCTCAGGTCTCTTTTTATATTTGTTATATAAATTTCCGTGGCAAACACTGAGCATAACTAAAAGTTCATTATTCGCTAGGTAAAACCACATATGAATGTGGATTTGGAATTTTGTCCCTTCTCTTTTTTTACCCTATATGGACATACAATAAAATCCTAGCTAAGAGTACTGTCATGAATAAGACAGAAAAAATTACAGTATTTAAATCCAACTGGTTGGAGCTGACATTTCAGAACTCAGGAAGGTAACATATTATATTCTTCTCCCCAGCTCTTTACTTTTATGTATCTTCTATTCTCTTAGAAGTTAGAAGAATGTTGAGCTTAACGTCAAAGACAGATTACCCTTTAAAAGAAACATCTATCAGAGAAAACATTAATTGGTTGCTGGAAAGCACAGCTATGAGAATAAAAGCATCTGGAATGAAATGAGAGATAAAAGCTGGAAAACATAGCTAATGAAGAATGGAATTCCTTTTATGCATGTGGGAGCTTGCACACATGTGTTCATTTTTCCCAAATATCTAAGATGTTTAGATGAGCAACAACATGCCGTTCGCATTGCCAGGCAAGTTTCCTTCTGGCTTTTCTGGTTTCTGTGATGGGAGACCTTTTCTCCCCGTAGCCTCCTGATGAAGTTCTCTATAAATTCTGCTCCGTGTTGCAGAAGGCCCACACTGCCACTCGTGCTCTGACAACTGCAAGCTGGGGATACAGAGGAGTGAGATACCCCACATGCACATGTGTGAACTGACAGAAGATGCAGAAAGAGAAGCAAAAAAGCATGAAGACTGCTTTTTGTCCTTCGAGGTGAGGCCAGTCTCCTGACAGCGTAAGTAGGAGTTTCAGCTGGGTTTACTTGGCCCC